GAGATAGTTACTGACCCCAGAGATATTGTATTGGGCTCACAAACTGCCTTGCACGGTGTCTATCATAAACATTTTATTGGCGGCTGCGCTGTGATTCAAAATCTGTGGGGATGGTTCCTGACCACTGATATCTTGCTAATCTATGCATGTAGGCTGTAATCAACCAAATCTGAGACGGGCGGAAAACAGCCTGTTTTCCACCCTGGGGCATGGATAGGCTGTAATCAACCAAATCTGAGACGGGCGGAAAACAGCCTGTTTTCCACCCTGGGGCATGGATAGGAGGATATGATGAATTACGGAACGACTACCAATATAAAGTGAGGTGCGAGAACAGTTCTGGACTCAGTACTTCTGGGGCTATGCACTGACACCCCAAACATCCAAAACTGAGACGCCCGGAGGTCAGCCTGACCTCCTGGCTGGGACAGGGGTAGGAGGATATGATGAATTACGGAACATCCACCAATATAACACGGGGTGCGGAAAGTACCACTGGACTCAGCACGTCTGTGGCTATACACTGACCCCCCAAACATCCAAAACTGAGACGGGCGGAGGTCAGCCTGACCTCCTGGCTGGGACGGGGCTAGGAACATTCCCACGGTCATGGGAGTGTGATATTCGGATTCCCACGAAATATCTGCACGGATTTAGGTACCCGACGGAATTGAGCCTCAATTCCGTCCGAACACAAGGATAGGCTCCCACCCCTCCCCCACCCCTGGCTCACCGCGCACCTCACGTATAACCCTAACTGATCCCCAGAGACCAGTAAGTGATTGCCTCGAGATCAACAAAGTGCAACACTCGCCATACATGACAACGAATGGGCTATGGCTTCCGGCGCAACTGATTCCAAGGAGGCAAGCCGAATATTGCGGGCAGTTCGTTCCATGCGTGCTGTCGTCCGGTTTCGCCGGTTTGAATCCCGTCCGCAACGCATTGTTTGCACATGCCAGATTTCTCCACGTTGGCCCATACAAAGGGGTTGAAGAATGTCCAAACACGTTGTCTCCATGGGTTGTTCTCGAGTGTGTGGGAATGAGACTCTTTCAGGCGGTTGCATATACTCGGTGTAACACATGTTTCGTTACCACGATACAACCATCGGTAAGGAAGTAGTCTCTGCATGGATAGCAGTTCCAAGCGCCCCTGCATGATGAGCAGTAGGTCCTGCGGACATAACGAGGCGTCGATGATTTCGGCGATGGGTCGGTCGCACAGTGCGAACATAATCACAGGCAAGAGCGAAGTAAGATTGCATTGTCGAGCCACATTCATCACATCACGGTTGTCGGTAGGGGACAAGGACACGGACTCCCGCCGTACGGCGATCCATGCTTTCAGGGAGTCAGGGTACCACATTGCGAGGCGTTTGGCAGCGCGAATTCGAAGGTGTGGGATATCGTATTTGGTCGCAAGGGAAACGATCCCGATGACCTCCGCACATGGTGCGTTATCGATGCGCTCGACGGCTCTGCAAATAGGTTGAGATCAAACTGGGCTCAAGTACTCGGTGAGCGTACCTTGCATCATGTATGGCTAAAAGCAGTGAACGGAGATGATCGGCTGGGTCGGGCATGTGCACGAGCGGGCAACCATATCGTGAATCGATGTTAGCCTGAGGCGTCGAGATCGCGAGCATATCCGCGAATATGGTAGAGTTCTGCGCCACCAGCATCTGGTAGACCTTAAAGCCGACTCCCTCTGCGGCGAGCACGATGCTGCCGTCCTCGTACCATAACTCTGTGCAAGGGGTCAATTCTATGCATGGCTGGCCGTCTTCGTCGCCTCCGGGGAGCGCAGGGTCCATCTATAGCTGTAATATCGGTAGTATCTGTAGGAAAGCGTTCGTGAAGTGTAATGCGTCCTCCGTGGTCGCTGTACGAGGTCAAGGCAGACAACGACACGATCTCACCTTTGTTCGGTCAGCACGTGTTCCTTCCATTGGCTCTTTCTTTCTTCAGCCTTGGGTCGAGTTGCTCAGCTACGATTCAGACGAAACCGAGTGTGAAATAATGCCAGGACGGAAATCGAAAGGGGCGCGCGCTCTTCGTAGCAATGGACCCATTCTCCTCTCCGCCATGTACACAGTAACCAGCCAATAATCATTGGATAACCGCACCCCCGAATCTTGGACCACTATCTCTCTCTCTGTTATGCCGATGGTCTCCCGTCCAGCGATTCGCACTGTCCTCATCGACCTCTCGGGAACGCTGCACATCGGCACCTCCGCGCTCCCCGGCGCCGTCGCGGCCCTCCAGCGCCTGCGCGAGGCGCGCGTCCCCTCCCGGTTCTGCAGCAACACGAGCAAGGAGAGCACGGCCGACCTCGTGCGCAAGCTGCGCGCGATGGGTTTCGGTGTAAACTCCAAGGTTGTCGTCGGGCCAGAAGGCAAAGAAGGAGGAGAGGAGGAGGTGTGGACGAGCCTCGGTGCGGTCAAGAGGATGATCGAGGCGAGAGGACTTCATAGGTGAGGTATACTTTCGTGCTCGAATCGTCTTTCCGTGCATGCCTTGCGTGAACTACGGGCAGTTCTATCTCTGATGCGGCCCGGAAACACGGATCGTTAACACCCCATCGCAGACCATACTTCCTCCTCTCGCCTTCAGCAGCCGAAGAATGTTCTGCCAACCTTCCCTCCTCCGACCCGAACACACCATACGATGCCGTCGTTGTTGGTCTCGCACCGGCAATGTTCACCTACGATAACCTCACCACCGCCTTCCGCGTCCTAATCGGCGAGGAAGGCCAGCCTTCTTCTGCCTCTGCCTCTGCCTCTGCCTCTGCCTCGACCTCGACCTCGAAACCGAACATCGCTTTCCTCGCCACGCATAAGGCCAAATACGTCCGGACGCCTGATAAGCAGTTGTCCCTGGGCCCTGGGCCTTTTGTCGCAGCGCTCGAGGACGCGAGCGGCGCCAAAGCGGAGGTGGTCGGTAAGCCGACGAAGGCGTTTTTTGAGAGCGTCATCGGCAGCATGAACCTGGACGGTACGCGAGCGATCCCATCGACCACCACGGTCCACGGGCTCTGATATCCCCAATGTGCAGGAAGCGACGCGGGGAGGATCGCCGTCATCGGCGACGACGTGGCCGCGGACCTTGGGGAGGGTGCGCTGGAGCTTGGCTTGTGGAGGGTCCTCGGTAATTTACTTCGCGTTGTCGACCGTGGTGCGGTAAGGAGAACTGAGCCGATTTTGTAGTGAAAACCGGCAAGTATAGGCCCGGAGACGAAGCTAGGGAAGATGCGGTACCTCCCGACGAAGTGCAGGACAGCTTCGCGAGCTGGGTGGACAGTTTGCTACTTGACCGCGAGGCGCGTTCACGCTTGTGAGGAGGTTGTTGGTTGTGTTAGACGCGCGGGTGTTGCACTACATGACTGGAAGAATAGATCTATAGAGTTTGTTGTACAGTACATGGCGCGAACCCGTAAAATATCGATACACTAAGAGGAGTTGGTCACGACTTCAGTATCTCCTCCACCTGCGTCTTCACGGTTTTCCACTTCCATACGGATTGATCGGGGTTCACCAGCTCGTTATCGTTCGAGGACGACCAGTCCAGCTTCCCTTCGCCCATCAGGATCCTGTAAATCGACGATGAGCATTTTGTTACGAAATTGTAGGAGATGACGCGCACCGCAGATGTCCCGCGGGAGGAAGACTCCGATCGGCCAAATACCTCTTGCTCAGCTCCGCCTTCTCCCGCGCGAGGTCCAGGCTTTGAGTCCGTACCTCTCCTCCACACCAGCGGGCGACGTCCTCAAAGCTGGCGGTCGACCCCGCGATCCGAACGTGGTCTGGGACTTTGGACGCTGAGGAAGGCTGGGATGCGAGGAGGGAGAGTTCGGCCAGCGCGCGCGCGACGTCGGCCTGAGACGTGAAGGAGACGCGCTGGCTTGGCGGGCCGACGGGCGTGAGGAGGCGGTTTGGAATGTCGAATCCGGCTAATGGCTAGGATGCGTTGTCGGTCTGTGCTCCCTCGGTCTAGGAGCGGGTTCTCGACGCACCGCAAGCCCGAGCTCGAGAAACCACCCCGTGAAGACAACTACGACCTTCATCTTCCCTGCAGCGAGTTCGCGAGCGTGCTCAGCGTGCGCGCCCTTGGCGAGCCAGTCTTCGTGGTCAAATCCCGGGAAATCGTTCGCCCGATGGTCGCTTCGACAATCACTGTGAGCGATCCGATGGCGCGAAGAGGTGTGAGGACACTTACACTCCGTACTCGCTTGGAAAGTAGACTTGAACCCCAGCGGCAAGTGCCGATCTCAGGAGTACCTCCTTCTCCCCACCAGATGCGCTTCCGCTCAGCGCACCGACGAGGATGTCGATGTCTTGCAACGCTGATTTGAGGCCTTCTTCGGTCCACTGAGGAATCCCCTTCACTTCCGCGCCTTGAGACGCGAGCGCGCGCGCGTTGGGCGACGTTTCATTCCGAGTGAGGCATACCACGCGAAAGAACGACTTGTATTCTGAGAGGAATGTGGACGCGATGACGCTGCCTGCCTCCATGAGCCCTCGGACTGTACCACGAGGTGCAAGGCGTTGACGTACCTAATCTACCCGTGGAGCCTGCGATGGCAACACCAAACCGACCACGACTCAGTCGTGCGGATGTTGTCCAAGACATATTCTGTCGAGTAGCACTAGCCGGTGCGTATAAGATACATATGAGTAAGTAGGTGTCCCGTGGAGATTACATTGAGAGACCCGCGGATGGAGGAGCCGTCAATCTGATGGCTTCAGAAACGACGGCGCTTGGAGAAGGTGGACGGAACGAGGTGACGACGATCGGTCACAAGCATGAGCGTGATGTGCGGGCGCCTTTTCCAACATTTTCAAGGTTGACGCTCGCCTTCACCATGCAACGTTTCACTCTGTCGCATGTCGATATCCATCACGAGCTTCGACTCTTTCTCAGACAAGCACCTCGCGGCCTTCGGCTCACATCAATATTTCTCTTCATCATAGATGCTACAGCCGACGGCGTCAAGCTATCCAGCCCGTGTCGTTGTTCCTCGCGGTGCTGTGACATTGCTGTCCGCACTCGGCGCCTCCTGGCCACTGCTGCACCGATATATGTCATGGTATACACTCTGCTTGATCCATCGCTGATCCGCCGAGGGTCATTGATTCGCTCGTTTCGTCTCTATATCAGCGTACGCTAGTGGCACTGCGACCGCCCGGGCTACTTTAGGGAATGCAGTCCAACATTTCCGGCCTTCCCTTGCTCGTATCGTGCACCAGGACCTGATAATCCCTCCGTGAGTCATTTTTGTTCAGCATGACGTCCCGGATTTGCGCACCGCATCCTGACATGGCTCGTAGATGCGGCTGACGATTGGCCCCGTTGCTCTGCAGCCTCGCGGCACAGTCGCTGCCGTCGCACCAGCCCCGCGCAAGCTATCTCGAGGTCACTGAGGCGCCCGCGCGCTCCTTGCAGATAATGGCACACGGATATTTCGCTAGCTTCCAAGGTGGAATGGAACCCCAACATCGCGTCCGGCCATCATAGCTGACTGGATTATAAACACCGGGCCTGACCCCATCTCCTCCGTACCTTCGACCGTCCTGCGGCATCCAATTTCTGACCGTCCTCTGGAGCCGGCTAGTCACTGTTATATGGAAAGCCAGGGTCATCATCGACATCGCCGGCAACAGCTGGTGCTCACACCCAACGGGTGGATTAGCATCTACACGCTCGCTACCCATGATCGTCCTCAAGCCCCCGCGTCAACACCCATCCCAAACTCGAACCGCCCACCCTGTACCTCTCCTGCGACTTCATCCGGCCCCTTTAACCCCGCCTCGACCAGCGCCCCAGACCCAGGCGGCTCCGCGCACGGCCACGTCCAACTGGTACCTCCTCGATCCCGCGTCCCAGTCGCAGCCTTACCTGCAGGCATCTCCGAATGCCCGCGATGCGGACGCCGCATGCGCGAGGTCGACCGCGCGGACCACAACGCCCGGCAGTGCCCGTCCAGGGCACCCGAGCTGCACGACCCTAGCGCGCTCCTCGTCCCACCGGCCGACGCGCGAGACGACGGCGGCGGATACGTCAGACGCCGCCGTCGCGAGCTGGCCGCACGTCCGCTCGGGTTCGACTACCCGTCGCCGGCTTCCAGCTCCGGCTCCTCGCGCTCGAGCTCGAACTCGCGCTCCGGCACGTCGAACGACGAGCTCGCGCTCGGCGAGACGTGGCGGACATACCTCGCGAATCGGGCGCGCCGTCTAGGAGGAGGAGAAGGAGGAGGAGGAGGAGCCGCGTATGACGTAGGAGGGAGCTCGGTGAGCGAGGGTGTTTCGGCGTACCACCCCCGCCCCCGTTTTCCGGCTCCTTCCCATGCCGTAGTATCCCCTCCCGGGCGCGGTTATCACGGGTCGTTCACCGAACCAGGTGAGTCCGTCGACAATTTCCTCGACTCGGTGCGCCGAGAAACAGAGATAATGACTGTCGCCGTTTCGCGCTCCTCCTGCAGCGTATCGCGCTCTATGAGGCGGGCAGGATCGCGCGCCCCACGGAGACGAAGGTCGCGTCCGAGGTTTTCGATTTTCTACGAGTTTTGTGATGTATCAGAAAAGAAAGGGGAAGGGAGAGAAGAGAAAATGGAACTTTCCGTCCGTGGAAGTCGTAGGACCACGAGAACGCGATATAGCGAGGCGCCTGTTGATAATGACACGGCGTCTGTTGCGCACCGTGCGCAGCTGTACCGTCAAGCGATCGAACAGGATACAGAGACAAGGAAATCTGATTGTGCACGGGCATCGGCTTCGTTCAAATCTACCGGGCAAATGCGAGTTTCGCGTGCACATGCGGGCAAAAATAAGGATATCGTGCACGACAGTAGAGTGCGTGCGATCAGAATGGAGACGTGCGCGGTGCCGGGGTGTGGCGGAGCTCTTTTTGCAAAGGCTACATGATTATCCCATTAGTTTTGGCGTGGTTGGCTTTCTACAATAGCGTCTTGGCAGCCTTTGTTCGACATTGCGGTTGTTATGGCTATATTATAATCCGCCTTCGGAATGAGCAATCGCGAGATGGAAGTGGTGCCCCTGTTCGGGCATTCTGGGCAAGGAGGAACAGCGAAGTCGTCGATATTGGCATCATTGAAAAGGTCATGTGAGCAACGATATTGCTTGTCCCCGATTGGACGGAGCACCTCCTGCATTTGTGCTGTCATTCTGGTTGCAAGACCTTCGTTCGCCACAAAGCCGCCTTTCGCGGGCGCAAGGACTTTACATGTTCTCCGCGGCGAAGCCAGCCGTTTGCTGCTCTCCGCGAAAGCTCGTGCGCTCGCAAGAGTCCTTCCCACTTCCCACCTCAGCCCTGCATTACCCCGCTTGCCTCTGAGCCTCCACGCCGCCTCTTCATCGCCGTCCGGCCCGACTGTCGTTGACATTGACAGCCTCGTCGCAAGCTCTATCTCCCAAAAAGGCAAAATTTGGGAGTGACCCGCCATCGGGGCCTTCGAGATCTCCCCAACCCGCGCTTCTTTCGTGCTTGCTTACTGCGCCTGCCCGACCTGGTGTATTTGAGTGCCTCGGCTACGCTGGCCAAACTTCATATCACACTCTCGCAGAACAATGGAATAAGCGATCTCTCATCTGCGCATGATGCCATCAGACGACTCTGAGGTGGCAATCCGCGATTGCTGAAAGCCTCAGCACAGAACAATCTCAGCGCCGATCCATTTTTATCATTTCTCTCCGCGAGGCATCGTTCCAGCTCCTTGGCGACACGCGTCAACGTTCGGGATCCGCAAAGGCGCAGCACGCCCCCGCCGGTCACGATGATCACCGAATGCGTCTGTCTCCCCGCTTTGTCTGAGGGTAGGATGATTTCCTGTCTAGCGCGATGGACTGGAACGCCAATTCGGTTATAAAGCATGGCCGCGTCCTCTGAATGGACGAACTTGCTCTTGTGAAGGACATCGACGTCGACCTCGAGATGAGCACGAAACATTTCTCGTTGCCCAGCATCCATGAGATGCTTCCGGGTATGTTTTGGTCTTGTATCTATCATTGCATAAGACTGGTACTAATACCAGCGTGTAGGCTACGTTTCTCCTGAGCCTGACCACCTCCACAAAGCTCGACGCCACTCGACAGCTGAAGCGCTACCGGGACCTCTTCACGTCCCCTCATACGCTCGACCACCTCCGTTTCGTCCGGCCTCGTTGGTATCTGTAAACCCTCCGTCTACTCGAGCGGTCCGTCACGGCTCGGAACCTGCGCCAGCTCCCCCCGCCCGCACCGATTGCAGGCCATCACCTCCAGCCTACGCATCCAGGGAGCCGGCAACGCGTCGCGCTCCCCTCCCTCCACGCTGCATCTCGCCTCACCCTCGGTCTCCTGCCCCGTCAGCACAGTTCGCGCCGTATACGCCACCTCATCCTCCGCGCCCTGTGCGTACGGGAATATACCATACGCGCCCCGTTCCAGGCCCGCAGGCGCAGCCTCCGTTCGTCGTCGTGCGCGGCGTGCCCTGCGCCCGCTTCTTCTCTACCTCGTCACCCGAAATGCGCGAGGAAGACGAGGCGCGCATGAGGGACCGAAAGCGCACGCGGACCAATGGACCCGAGCATCCCCCACCAGCAACTGGTCGCGCGCAAGCGTCTCCTTACCCTGGTGCATACCGAACCGAGGGCAAGCCCGTGAAGATCGAGCAACACGTCATACGCAGTCCCGAGTACGGCTCTCAGCGATACGGACTACGACAGGAAGACGGAGAGCGCGCTCGCTACGACTTTTCCCCCGCTGCAAGAGTGATCTCTATACCGAACGCGCTGGACGACGCGATTGCGCTGCACCAGCAGAGGATGCAATACGGGAGCTTTGATGCCGGAGATAACGCTCAACGGAAGCACGTCTGCCACCTTTGCAACAAACGGTTCAGTAGACCCTCGAGCCTCCAGATCCACATCAACACGCATACCGGTGATAAACGTGAGTCTCGCTCCTAACTTTCTCTGCTACTTCCCCCATACATACAGATATCATATCGGCGTGTTCGCTTACCCGGGCAACGCATATATATGATCGGTTGCCCCACACGCTGACATCGACGATTACATACAGCCTTCGAATGCCCGCACCCGACCTGCGGACGACAGTTCAGCGTGAACAGCAACATGCGCCGGCACTATCGCAACCACATCACCGACACCGATGGGCATCCCGCTCCTCTCGACACGACCACACTGGACGAAGAGAGACAGAGCACCGTCGAAGAGCCCGTCTACGTCCACTTCACCCCGTCCTCGATGCGTCCGTGTATAGAGTCCGATTTTCGCGCGATGTCTCCTACACCTTCGCCCGCGTCGCCTTCCCGGTCTTCGTCCGAGCCGGAAGTCTCCATGATCGGGTCGGACGACGAGCTCGATGACCAGCCGTCCTCAGGCTCGGAGTCAGTCGGAGTCGCCTGATTGCGTGGTTCGAAAGAAAACCCCAAGAAAAATACTGCCTGTGTGCGGCTACTCGCTGCAATATCTACACCTGTTGTACTGGAGTGGCGTTGATAACATGACGACCTTGAGGGCTTCGTATGGATTACTCCATCGCAGTATCATCGGCGGCCTGCGTGTGGCGAGGAATCTCCCATTGATAAGCGCAGGAACCCATGTGTCGAATGAGCGAAACCCGAGTGACCGCATACTTGTATTCCAAGAATATCTACGACAACACGAGGCTCGCGCGGGATCGGCACCCTTTCAGAGGGAGAGCCTTGAGTGATCGACCCAAGTACTCACGAGAGGTACCCGCCTGGGCGCGATTGACCTCCAGCACGGTGACCTCATTCGAAGCTGGCTTAGTAGTACGATCGCCAGACCTCGACAGGCGTCGAGAGATGTGCGTACGAGCGGTATCGGCTGTGCGCAACGTATATTCATAGCGTTGTTCAAGCAGTGGTGTACATACGCGTACATTGATATACATACACATCTGTCCTCGTTGACGTCCTAACGTGAATCGTGCATAAGCCCGCCTTGATCTATTCGCGATGCTGACATGATCCACTCGGGGTATTCAAGGCCTTCAAACAACCGGTCCGTGGGATCACTATTCAAGCCGCAGCAGCATGGGATCTTTGGGAGCAAAGAGGTACACGAGGCCTCTCGGCCTCCGGCCTGCGGCGTGTATCCATAAACCCATGTGTTTATCTGTGCGCCCCATAGTAAGCGGACAGTCGCTACCGTTCATAACCATGTTCGGATGCGGACACGCACCGTGATCCGCCGCTGACCCAACGCGATGCACCTCGCATCGCCTCAGGGACATGGCGCAGAAAGTTCAGAGAGTCTGATCAAGCGGGCCGCCGTGCTCCGCTGCGGTCGTCGCTAATTGCCATCCGCGATTTGCGCAAGGTCGCTGCGTACTCTGCTAAGCAATCGCGGCCTCATACGGTGCTCTGAGCAAAGATGCAAGCCCGGCGCGCCCTTGTCTATCATTGATTGAGCGGGAGACCGTGATCCAGAGAGACGATGGCGAACCTGAGTGTGGTGGAGCGATACATACTAAACGCCGCAACGCGAAAGCGTCCGCGCGTAAGGGGAAAAAGGTGAGATAACGTTGATCCCGTTTCGTTTCTTTCAGGGTCGCTGGTGAAGGTTCCTACCGCAGGACTGCGATCAGCTTATGTTTGTCCGAGAATGGGTAAATCGCGAGTACATACGGTCCGTAGTGCTCGGGAGCAGATACTGTATCCCCGACGATCGTGTTGGCTCCGGCGGATCTGGCCTTGCATGTGCGACCCTCCTCTTGCTAGTATATTGCGTTGCAGGGCCGCTGGTGCAAAGTCGTACTGCGATCAGCTATGTTGGTCCGAATACGGATAGATAGCGTGTACATACCGTCCGTAGCGCCCTAGAATAAAAATACACAGTAGACGGTATTGTCTATCGCGCATCTGATTCTGCCGAGGTTCGGCTCGAATCAACCATAAATTTCCTCTTGAAGGCATCTAGGCTTACCACGTATACCAGGACCCCCGTTAATACAGTTAAAGGTCGGAATATTCGCTGACCCAAAATGAGTCGTATTGTCGGCAATTTTCTGCTTCCATCGGCACGTTTTTGTCGGCAAATATTCCGACATCGGGCCTGCGGCGCCCATTTCGTCCGCGCTCTATTCCGGCATCGTGGGAATTAATGGCTATATCTGGGCTGTTCCTCTCCGGGCCCTCGATGGTTCGATCCTTTTGTCGACAAATATTCCGACCTTGGTTTGTCGCTCCGAACGGATGTCGTCAAAATTATACCGGCCTGCGGCGCCCTCAGACGTGCTTTTGTCGGCAATTATTCCGACGTACGGCCCTTTTCAGGGCCCAAAATGTCGTCGGAATATTCTAACATTAAACCGTATTAACGGGGGTCCTCGTATACCCCTGCTACGGCGTTACCATGGTTATCGACATGGCGAAGATCGATACAGATTCCGATCTTCCCAACTTGATTGCAAGGTGCAACGTCTACGCTGATATCGATTGAAGAAATACGGTGAGAAACTCGACGCGAATAGACTTACAACAGCGAACGGCGCTCTCTCACCATCAGCGATGACAACCCACACGGCCACCGCGCGTTCTTCGGCGAAGGTCTGAACTCTTGGGCGAGAATGGGCTTCGGGCCCTTCGTGGCGTGGGGTCGTGGCGGTACGCAATATCGCAGCCGGGAGATCCGTCCGTGAACGCGGGCGCATTGTGGATTCGCTATTCTTCGTGTGGAAATTCGTATCAGAAAGGGATCGGATCTTGGTGAGGCGGTACGCACCTGTGTGAGCTCGATCCACTGTTTGCATACAAAGAACGTTGGGGGGACTGTACCGCGCCGGGACGCGGTGGGTCTAGCGATGCACGAAGGAATGTTTCGAACGCGGGAGGAGAGACCGAGCGTGAGCGCCGTCAGTTGATGCACAGATGGGATAGGTAAGGGAACTAACTTGCCAGGATCGCGCGGGATCAGAGATGCACGCACGGAGTGACCGCATCGGCGAGGTTTTGATAGCGGTGAGACTGGGCTTGATGCATTGGAGCACCGCGAGATGCGGTGCACTCCACAGGGACCGTACCGCCGGCGATGGAGGGAAGACGTTAGCGTATCAAACAGAACCGATGTGGAAGGGCGAGCGAGCGATCGGAGGGCAATCGGACTGAGTTACGTCCGGCGGCAGTGGACCAGTGGTGCTGGTGAAACAAGATGGGATTCCAGAGCGGCGCATCGCGCCAGCAGGCCCACCCGGAGAGCCGTGATCCAAAGAGTCGAAAAGAAGAGCAACGGTCACGGGTGCAGAACCGGGTTTCCAACTCTATCAGAGAGATCACGCCGAGCAGAACCATCCCGTCGACATCTATGGAGGGAAGGGGGAATGTCTCTCATGCCCCAAGCGGCTGGTAGCCATCAAGGAGCGTGAGGCGTACATCTGAACGAAGGCCTGTGGCAGAGCCCCGCATCAGTTCTCTTGCCCGAGGTTTCGCGTTGGGTGCGTGGATAAAGCTCAAAATCTGCGTGTGCTCAGCCCGCCTCTGGACGGGTGGGAGAGGGCCGGTGCGTCCCAGTCGGTTCGAAGCTGATGCGTGTGATGCCGCGCGCAGGACGGGCGCTGGTTCGGGATTGTTGGCCGTACGATCTCGTCCGCGGTGAACAGCTTGCTACGTCGGATTGGATGTTGGATACTTCGCCTGGGTAAACGGGATGTTGGGATCTCGTTCCATCGCAAGCGGGTGTCCGGTTCCGAGCCCTGAGCGCGAGCAACACGAGGCGATCGTACCCTGACGGTTCTTTGGGTCTAGTCCGCGCCCGTGACGAGGAAGGTGCTGGAAGGAGGATAACGTTAGGATTCACCCCGACGTCATATCCACAGCACGCGTCCGATGAAGAGACGCATGGGCGATTAGTCGATAAACGTGCCGCGGACGATCCGTCGTCATATCTGAGACACACCCGTATGGTGTAACTGAATGCGACGAATGTCCCCCCACGAGCGGGACGCGCGACAGATCGTAAGTATTCTTGTCGCTCGATGGCGTCGATAAGCACCAGACGGCCCGGGCGATTGCCCGGGAGAAGAGCATCAAACGGGCGCGCGCGTGCAAGCCCAAGATCGTGCGCCATACCGATGAGGCCCAGGGACGAGAGAAAACCAAAATCGTCATTTTCTTTCTCACCGCCACGGACGCGCGGCGCGGCGTCCAAGGCACGAAAAAGGGGGGAGCCGTTGGCATAGCATCCGCGTGCTTTTTTTATTATTATTTTTTGGTTCGTGAGCATCCTCGCCAAATCGGGAAAGGGATCACGCAGAGCTCTTTTCTGTGCCCACGACAGAGAGGGGCCCGTTGCCGTTTCCGTTCTGATGGGGAAATTGAAAAGAGGGATCCGCGCCCGGCATGTGGCGCGGTAAACGATTCGGATCGGGGCCCGTACGTTGCCGATGTGAGGAGAGAGGAATGCCGAAAAGCGTTTGGGTTCTCGCCTCGACAATCCCGGAGGCTTTTTTTTTGCGTCCGCGGAGGTTCTCACCCTGTCTTACTTTTATACATTTCGGTCTCTGGACGTGACTGATCTGCACGCAATATTGAAGAGGGTGTTCGTGGTCGCGATGCCAACTCGCGTTGGATTTGAGAGTGCGGGGATTGGGCTTGCGTTTAACACGGGGTAACACCGAGGAGGTTAGAGATGGCTTTGAGATGGCTGCCCGAACGCGACCCCGTGTTTTAGATATGACGAAAGGCAACGCAATCTGATTTGCATCTTCTGGATCGGATTGGAGAGAGAGGAGAGGGGGGACGGACACGGGCAATCCCCGCAAATCACCACGCGGCGTTGCCGACGCCGCTGGCTTTGGCATACGTACTCAGTCGCCGTTCTGTTAGGAAAGAAGGCCTGCGATTTCACCGTATCCAGGGAACATCCGACTTTGTCTTACATGTCAGTTTGACCTGTCCCCGCTGGCTGGAAGCGCGACTCGTGCCCCTTCTCCGTTTGACATGTCGTGAGCGGCCGATGTGGGTCTCGCGTCCCCCGGTGGTCGATAGACTTTCGAGTGCCGTGCCATGGGAAGACCGTTTTTTTTTTTCGCCCGGCTGGGGGCTTACTTCGTTTGGCAGGGCGCTTCCATATCCAGGGACGGTTGCACAGCAGTTCAGCCCGAATTGGGCGGGTGATCGGACTGGTAATCGAGGGGCATCAGTGCGTCACGCGCAAATCCTCCGGAACAAGCAAATCGGCTGAGATCCGGATGCGACCGAGAGGATATGGCAATTTGGGATGGTGGTCGGTTTACATTATCGTTTGCCCCGGAAGATCTGCAAGGCACACACACACGTCACCAACCAGAACTGAGTCCGACAGAGATATGGACACCACGTATGCGCTGGAGGGTTTCGGGGCATGTACATATAGCCTAGGATAGCGCACACGATGCCCGCAGCGGTCGGATATCGCTCGCTCACGAGGTGCGCCCGAGGTTGTAATACGGAAGCTCGTTCCCTGGGTCGCGCATGACGGCATAGCGCGGAGGAAGAGAGCACAGAGAACGCTTTTCGCCTAAACCGGGCGGCCATTCTCCCGCCGCCGTCCCTGCAAGCGTGATGGCGCGGAGATGGGGGGCCTCGAACGCGGCAAGAACGGGGCGGGGACGGCGATGGCAACATGACATACGTACATACGTCGCTGCGTGTTGGGTCTCGAATTCATATCTGCCTAGCGGACGGGGCGCGTGACGGCCAGGGCGAACGCGAAACGCGCTTCCATTTGAGGAGGGGACGCCCACGCCATCGCCAATCCCCCTGCTCGCTCTCAAGCGCAACCGGCGCCGATCAACGCTGTGCCACACGTCCGCCCGTCTTACTCTCTCTACGATCTGAAAGGAGGGAAAATGTGCAGGGGACGCGGCAGCAGTTGCCCAGTTTGGCATATACGAGTTATACGGAGCCATAACCACCCCCGGGCGGTGCGACCCACGCCGGAGCGAAGGGGACGGTATAGAGTAGAGAAGAATGCTGTGACGCGAAGGGCAGGCAGGATCCGCGCTCGTCACGGAGGTTGGCGACGCGGATAGAGACAGCAGGAACTGGAAGAAGCCGAACGACGAGCTGGGAAAGAAGGCCGGAAGGGGTGGCCATCACTGCGGCGATGATGAATCATGGTACGCCCTCGGGCGCTGATCCTGTGGTTGGGGCACGCACCCACCCTTCCCCGTCCGCGCCGCCACTCTAGATCGCCCAACGCCGCGCCCCGCTGCCGCCGCCACCCGGCACAAACAGAAACAGATGACTGTCCCATCTCTTCCTCCGCGTCCCCGATCTCTCGCTATAAAGCGTCCCTGGGTCCGCTCCGGGATCGGGGCCCTGACGCATCCCTTCCCCTCGCTGTTCCCTTCATCGTCATCGACAGATCTATCCGCCGCTATCTCCTGCCCGTCGACCGCCCGTAGCCATGCGCGTCACCCTCCCCAGCATCCACGAGATGTTCCCCGGTACGTTCCCCCCCGCACCCTCGCGCCGAACCATCGCCCTCATCGCCGCCCGCAGAACACCTCGCGCGCACCGCGCAGCCCCCGACCCCGCCGCCCTACCGTCACGCGACCTACCCGACCCCGACGTCGCCGTCCTTCCCGTCCTCGCCGGCCTCGCCCCGCACCGCCGCCCAGTACCGCCAGCCCCACGGCCCCGAGTACAGCGCGGGCACCTACGCCCGCCCCCGCCCCTACTCGCCTCCCCCGGCCGCGGCCACGTACGGCTTCCACCACCCCGGCGCCCCCACCGCCTTCCCCGCGGTCTCCGGCACCACCACCGCCGCCTCCTCCCCCGCCGCCGCCGCCGCCGCACACAAGGCCGCCAACTCGCCCGCCTTCCGCGTCGCCATGCACCCGCACCCGCACCCGCACCCGGCGCCCCCGCGGTCTCGGACGTCCGCGATGCCCTCGCCGCCGCCCACCTCGGCCTCGGCCTTCTTCACCTTCGACTCGTCCGCGCACGCGCACGTCCACCCGGCCGCGGCGTCGACTTCGCAGGCGGTGCCGGGAGCGGCTGTTCTCGCTGGCACCGGCAGCCCGCCCCTGCTCGTCCCCGCCGCCACCGCCCGCTCGGCCGAGCACCCCGCGTCGCAGCGCCGTCGCGAGCGCAGGGAGCTCGCCAAGGTCCTCCCCGCGCCCTCGGCCCGCCCGCGCGCGGGCTCGACCAAGTCGGCCGCTTCGCCCGTCGTCGCCGCGAAGGAGGAGGGCTCTCCCGGCCAGCAGAGTTTTCAGCTCGGGTCGGCGTCGTCGACCAGCGAGGCCGACTCCGCCGCTCGCGATGAAGAGGCGGCCGAGGCCGAGGCCGACTCGAAGCACGGAGACAGGAAGCACCAGTGCCCCGAATGCAAGAAGCGGTTCAACCGCCCTTCGTCGTTGCGCATCCATTTTAACGTCCACGACGGTAACAAACGTGAGCGTTCCCCTCTCCTCGCTTCGTCTCTTTGTCTCGCATGTTCTGATGTGTTTCATTGCGATTTTTTTCTGCCTCACAGCGTTCAAGTGCCCGTTCCCCGGATGCGGACGGTTCTTCAACGTCAACTCCAACATGCGCAGGTAAGACCAAATTTTTTGTTATTTACTCGTGCGCCGCATCGTGACAGCGTTCTTTCTCACTCAGACATTTCCGTAACCATGGCCAGCCCTCGATCGCGAAGCCAGGGCCGAACCACTTCCCCTACGACGGACAGGCCTCCTCGCCTTCGGCCGACGCCGCGCGGCCTTCGCAGTCGCCGCGTCAGCTTCAAAAGGCCTATCCTCCCCTCGCCGTGTCCGACTCGATGGACGTCGACGAAGACGAGGACGAGGATATGGCTTACAACGCTCCTCGACGCATCATTTCCTATCGCGCCAGCGTCGCCGCCGCCGCGGCGGCGTCCTTCGTCGGACAGCCGCCGGCGCCTCGCCACATCTCGCCCGCGTCCGAATCGGGCTGGTCGCAAGACAGCTCCAACTCGTACGAGTCGTCGTCGAATCACCACGGCGGCCACATGCCGCTCCATCAACGGTACTCGTACGAGCGCTCCCGATCGCGCTCGCACTCGTTCTCTCCGGCGGGCTCGGACGCAGACGAGCGATGACATGGGGAGCATATGACCGCCCCCTTTCGCCTTCTCTTTCCCGCTGGCGCGGATCCCCTCTTCCTTCCCTTTCGGACCCTTTTGCGGCCAGCTCAGCACGAGCCTTGCTCCTTTTGGGGATGGCCGATTCAGGGTCGCGCGCCGTGCTGTCGGATCGGCGAGATCGCCGCGGGGGGCTTCTCCGCGCGCCCCGATTCCCCCTCTCATCGGGATTCTGGCGTAAAGAAACCCTCGCTCTGTTTCTAGTATTCTTCGATCGACTTTTGATCTTACTTTGCTGGCCATGACCGCCAGCGCCGTTGATGGCGCGCGCGCGCGCCAGTAAAGTTGCTGTCACGCGCGGGCTTCCGGCTTTTCCGCCTCGCCCCGCGTTGGTCTCTCTCTCGGCCGGATCCTTTCTTTGTAGTATACAATACAATACGACGCAGGGCGCGCCGCATAGAGTAGACACGACACGTCAATCCGGATACCGAATGTAATGATAGCCCTTTCCCCTCTCCTTCACTCGCATGTAGAGTTTACATACCATACATCATACTCACGCATGCCAACGTATACTTAACATATGCAACTTCGTCCACGGGCTTCCCGGTGTTTCTATCTCATTACGCCCGGGGGGCCCAGATGCGTTTACGGTGGTTTCGGCGTTTTCTCTGTAAACGTTATCGGCCGTCATCATGCGTCTTGTTATATATATATATACCCTGGGATCCCCGCACCCAGATCGGGCAAGGCGAAATGGAAGGGCGAGGACCACAGCCATCGAGGTCCGGCGAGGAAGGGCGCGAATTCGTCTTGCGGCTGTGCGCGTGGCGACGAGACACGGTGCGGGGCTCGCGCGAGGCATATTATGATCGTATCGTAGTAGAGTACAGTACTCTACACCCACACCTTCGGCATCCGTGCCATCGCCGTTCAGCCATGCTTTCCTAGATGTATGCATGTCGTTCGGGCCTCTGTTCGGCCGTTCATAGCACGCGCTATACGATGGCGTGTCACGGGGTCGCAGTTGGGGGGGGAGGGGTTTCAGAGGAATCTAGAACGAGGATGGGGGGAATCCCGGTATAGCCGCACGCGGGGGAGAGTTTCTTTTCATTTAGCCAGGAAGGGGGGGCGGGGCGGGCGGTTTTCGCTCGCTCGCTCTCCCCTTCCCGCGGAGGGCGGAGATGTGTACGGTAGTACACACGCACGACCGCTGCGTTAGGAGACGTGAGCGGGGGGGCGGGGGAGCTGGGGTCGTCCTCTCCCCCTTGCCCTATCCACGAAAATCCGCCGAAAGGGAAGTTTCGTCATTGGCGTTTCGCGAAAAGGGACCGGCGACCCTGGCTCTGACAGACCGCGGGTCTAGCTCACTCTGTTTTTGTTTCTTTGGGTCCGTAACGAGTTTATGTAAAGTGCGTTATGTCGTCAACGGTCCTGAAGTGAGGAAGAACGAAGAACGAAGAACGAACCAGCGCACGGGAAGGCGCGGGTGGCCCGGTATCGTAACATAACGAGGCGTTTGACTTGCCCCCTCGATGCATGAATGCTGCCTGATCCCACGCCGATCTCTGCTCTTGCCAATTCATCGAGCACAGCGCCAGCCCGACGAGCGCGAACGGGGTGCCTTTATCGCCCGATCCTACGACGTGCAGTTGCCCTACAACCGGGTGCAGTAACACTTTTCAATTGTACGAGAGCAGGAGTGGAGTTCTGTTCTCCGTTAACGCCGTTTGGGCGCCTTGGTGGGGATTCACGCCCCCCGTTCTGGTGGGCCATGGTTGTCTTGTGGCAGTCATGACGCCGCCGTTACCCCCCCCCCCCCCCACGGCATCCGCGCAGGACCGTCGAGGCGCCATATGCGATCATATAGCCTCCGTCGGGTCCCCGTGTGGGGCACCGGGGCACATGAGTTCGACCTGTCAATCCGGGCGCTCTCTGTGAGACCCGCCCGAGCCCGCTCGTCAATGGTGTAACGCAATACGAACTGACGGGGTATAAGGATACAATACCGTATGCGAGCAACAACGCGCGTTAACGGCATGGGCTTCCCCGGCAGTGGCGCCGCGAAGATCGACGGATACGGGGGGGACGGCTACATGGTATACTGTAGAACCCCCGGTGTTGCATCTTGCCGCCTGCTGGTGGCGCGGCACGCTGGCGACTTCCCGCGGGAGGAGGGAAGAGCATACATAAGTGCGCCGGTGCCATCGTGCCATCCGTGTCGAGCGACGATTGAGCTGCGCTGGAAGCCGTTCGTCGTTTCTGTTGAGTTGTTTTTGCATGGAGACAAGCTTAATCGGGGCGGATGGTGCGTGCCTAACACGCGGCAGCCCAATGCTATCAGCGCGCTGGGAAGAGAGAAAAGGAACAGGGAAGATCTCCAATATGACCATACCGGGAAAAGGTGTTCTGTCTGTTTCTCGTGCTTTCGGCCGTTGGTAACGTGGACGCTCGCGCGCGACGCGTTGCTGTTCATTTCGAGGAGATTGGCGTCGTAATCACCGTACGGTGTGCGTCATGCTGGGAAACTTCTTTGGAGCCTTTGGGTAATATTCGTCCCATGGCGAACGGTCGAGCATCGGGCCTGCTACGATGCACCGGATAGCGGATCGCAGCATTCGTGTCGTTGGGCAATTAGCGGTAGTACTGCGATCCAGGAGCAGAAACGTGATCGCCAATCCACTCTGAACGCCGAACGAAGAATTCAGTGGCTGACTTTGGGAAGCGGTATTGATGACGTACACATGCGCATTCGGTGTTTGCGGTAAAAGTGCGACGGGAGAGGCCGAGAGCGAATAACGCCGACAGGATCGTCGTATGTCGTAAGCCACGCGGAAACAGGGTTGCGTAGGCACAACTGAAAGTCAGACTTCATATGTCGCTTTCAGGAATCGGCCTTCGGGCGCTGGCTTGACACGTCTCGCACAAATTCCAGGCTTTCTGATCATCCCTTGGGTGCTGGAATACAACTGGAAAAGAAGTCGATCAGCGGTGATCTCCGACGGATTGCATTGCAGGCGACGCACAAAGAACTCGCCTTGTGTTGTTTTAACCTTGTTTCCTGCATCGGTGATCAGCAGTATCGCTGCTCCGGGATTCGGTCTCCAAACATTATCCGTGAGGGGCCTCGACGTGACCACTGCTGTCCGGAACCATATGTAACAAGCGGTCTTCGGATTCTGCCGTATGTCAAGATCGGGCTACTTTCGACAAGCAGACGGAGATGGTGGATCTGAGACGTGTCATATTACGACGAGGCGTTCAAGTTTGATGTTTTAGCCTGATTAACTATGCGAGTTCCTGTCTATCCAGCGCAACAGGCTGAGGACACAGGATGCGAGATCTGATGACTGCAAGTCCCGAAGTAAAGATCTGGAAACACGGAGTAAGTTAACGGAGAGAGCAGATAATTTTTGCGAAGCGTACGGTATCGTCATGAACACCGAGTTAGAAGCGGCATTTCGTACCCATCGGGGAACAAACAAGTCGCACGAGGATAGTTTACCTCCTGAACGAACTGCTAATAGCAGTGCGCAGAGGTCGAATGAATCAGAGCTGGAGTCGTGCCGTAGGATCAGAATCGTATGGGCGAAACACAAGGGATCCAATTGCCTAACGTCAGCGAGAAGTTCTAACTCTGAGTAACACCGAAGGAGGAGTTGGGCCAGCGAGGAGACGCGCTACGAGCACATACACAAGCCGTCGGAGGAGAGAAGAAGGCTGCGCGACCATAGATGGATTTCCAGGAAATGAGAGGAGGGATCAACCTGGGTATGCAGCCCGGCATGATATTTGAACGAAGACGTTGAGTGTCGATGCATCACGGTCGATGATATAGATCGGTCCTCCCATCGTCTCACCCCGGTGTCACGAATTCGTCAGCTAGAAGTTGAAAGATAGCAGGTGAGATCTTCTGGAGAATGTGTTATGGTCATAGTCGAGCGTACAGAACGATATTGCAAACGAGGAGCAGGCTCGCGCGGACTTGGATTGCAATTTATCCATCACGTGCCTCATTGAAACGGACTTGTGGTTGCTCGTCGACGTTATCCTCTGACTCTGCCGCGTCGTCTGCTTTATGGTCTTGTCCCGTACCGTGCTTTCCATGCAACTATTTGGTCAAATATCGGACTGCATACCACCGTATGGTCAGTGAGATGTGATAAGGATACGCCTGATGTCTGCGCTCGCCTCAAGCTTCAGCTAGTTCAACCTGGGATGTTCTTTCTGTCGTTGTTCTGTCTTGGACTTCGCACTGCGTATAAACTCTCCACTCACGACATCCGTCAAACTTGACTTGGACTGAAGACAGTTCACTCATGTAGGAGTATAGAGATCTCTATGGGGCTCCGAGCAAAATCGGATTTCTCGATGTGTGACAAACGGCGCGTCTAGATAGTGCCTCCAATGCATCTCGTACTGATGCTCATCATGAAGATCCAGAAAACGTGTACTGACGCGCGAAGCGTACTGTTGACGTCCCAACATTGAGCGCTGTACGGCAAGGTCATGTCACACGTACGCTCGGCACACACCTGCCAGACATCCGTCCGCCTGAGTACAAAGGCTCCCACTTCAACTGCCCGCTCCCCATCCTCTTCCACCTCTTCTCGCGTTGAACGGTACGCAACTCCCTGTGCAATGATGGCGTGGGGTCTTACAGCGATTGCCAGCGTTTTCTTTCGCCCTCCATCTTACCAACCCACACTTCTACGCGCATCGAAGTCGCCCAACTAACTTGACATCCGCTCTTTCCCATTCACCTGAAATATCCACTACAAGCTTCGATCGCGACCATGGTCCACTCGATGTTGCGCGCTGGCGCCCTCGCGGCGATATCTGTCCACTTCGCCACTTCAACCTACGCTCTTCCGCTACCAATCGCTGCGCGACACACAGGTGCGTACCCTTTCTTATGCCACGATCGGACATAGCGTGCTAACGTTCCACGGGATTGCGGTCACCAGATGGTTATCGGTCTGTCGGTAGCGCTCAGCAACACTCAAAGGTCGGTGCTTCGGGTTCTTCCGGAGCGAGCATCTATTGACATCGTTGTTCCTCATAGCGAAACGTTGTGATTGCTGGAGATGTGTTGCCTGACAACCTCCTGGATGGATCATCGGCCTGCGTTGACGTGAACTGTGGCGATAGCCTCGGGATCGCGAGCCTTAGTGCCATCACCGTTTCTGAGGCTCCCGCTGCGGCACCTGCTCCGGACGTTTCAGCCGTTCGCCATCACGATAACGATACTGTAGTCATTGTTGATGGCGATCACAAGACCGTCAGGATCCCACGAAGTACGCTCTCGATGAACGCAACGACGTCAGGGACGCTCGCACTGATGGTACGAGAAGTCGTTGGCTTTCGCGATGCGATATTCTAACTCTTTCACAGATGCCTGAAGAGGGATCTGCCGATATGACGGAAATCGCTTCGCTAGTCATCGCCTCATCCAACGATACCCCGTCCCCTTTCGTCTTGGATGCGTCTGCCGTGAACTCGACCCAATTCATGATGAACGTCCTGGATCAAAGCATGCTCGCTACCATGGGTGCCGAGCAATCACCTCTGCCCTCTGCAAAAGTCACGGTCACGCTATCCACTGCGCATCCGGATAGCGTCGAGGGCCGGGTTCTATGTACGACTTTCGACCCGGCTCCAACGTCCCCAGCACAGTTCACCATGGAAGGTTGTCTCACCGGTCCTGGATCGGGCAGCAAGAGCCAGCTCTTCTTGTTCGACCAGGAGACGGGTCAAGTCTCGCCGATGTGGCAGGGCCAGTCGGATGCCTCTGCGGCAGCCGTCGACGACGCTCCCAACGAGGATCCCGAGTTCGGCTCCAAGGACGCCTCGGACGGCAACGATATGCCGTCGATGGCGGCTGGCGTCGACCCGCTTACGCCCTTAAACAATCAGATCGCCTCCGTGACAGATGTCGGTGACGATCTCGCTGGTTCCGAGCTGGCTATGTCGGAGTCTCCTGTGACGTTTTCCTCTACCCCGGATGTGGCTTTCTCCAGTCCAACGCCCTCGGCTGCCGCCTCCTCTACGAATGCACCTGCCGGTGCAGCACCTCAGAGCGTCATCTTCGTATTCAAACCAAGTGACTGATTCCACGACCCGACGTGCTAGCGCACTTCGCTACACCAAGACGCTATCGGACCGTATTTGTTTTCCAGAAAACCGTATGTGCATGCCTGTGCCTGTATTCGACCTCATGAATGCGAGTAGCTGATATTCTGGAAAACAGGACGGATCTGGTGGCGACGGCTTCCGCACCTCGACGTAGAGTGTATCCGGACCTTGTCGAATTCTGTAGCTAATTCGTAGTGATTGTTCCATTCTGATGAGAGTGAATTGAAGGAACTGGCGCTTCGAGAAGAATACGAAGTGGCGCGGCAGAAGCGTCTCGCTTTCTTGCGCCTGCTCCAGCTCAATGCTCAATTGTGCAGCTCGGAAGTATACGAAGGAAGGCCTGTCGTGCGAGCTTCTAGCATGTACTCTCTTGAAAACGTGGAACGATTGAGCGTCTAGCACGTAGAACGCCATGAACTCAGGATAACATTGCCAAATGTCACACAATGTACCCAGATATGTACCGCGTCCATCGAATGGAGCAAAGGATCAATCAAGGAAGAGACGTCACTATAGCAGCCCCAGCTGAAGCAGTCACGGCAGCTACGACCGCGCTTGCCGCATCAGTCCTGGAGGAGCATGAGTGATAGTTATAGCAACGTATACATGAACTTACGCGTAAGTGTATGGAACACTGGTGAGTGTTCCGACCGCGAGATCAGAATCGAGCGTGGTATCCTGGAAGATATTGTTACGTTGGTTGGAGCTGCAACCGCGTTATCAATAGATAGACCCGCCAGAGCGGATATGAAGGCTTACAATCCACCGTTGAGGGTCGTCTCGATGGGGTCGGTGACGTTGTTGAAGACGTTGGATTCTGGAGCATGTTGAGGAAACTCCGCTACATGACAGGCACGGAGAAATCGGAAGACCCACCGACCAAGGTTTGAGCACCGTCACGAGAGTCGATAGCAGAATCGAAGACGTTGTCAAAGTAGTTGTTGTAGATATGGCTGTGATGCATCAGATGAGTCCATGCGCACCAGCGGAAGCAACGTCTCCCATACCCAGTACCAAAACGAATGGAGGGTGTGCGCGAATTGACGTCGAGGAACCAGTTGTGGCTGTAGCACGTAAATCATAGTCCGTGTATCCCTTGCGCGGACGGCTTACTGGTACGTGACTCTAAGGAGAGGAGAGTTAAGATATCTCGAATCATCCTCCGAATCAGTGTGACGCACGTACCGAAGATGACCCGAGTCCTCGTCGCCGGTATTGTCAGAACCTCCAACAAGTGACGTCTTGAAGTGCTGCTGGAAAATGTTCCAAGAAACAGTGACGAAGCTGAAATGACCCGGTCAACTCCGGCTTTGACATGGTAAACATACACGCCACGTACTCGGTGCCGTGGTTCATGTCGAGCTGCCCATCGTAGAAGTCCTTGTCATGGTCCAAGTCCGAGGTGAATGTGTTATGCTAAGAAACGTTGGGGCGAAAGGTGAAACTACTATTCAGGGCATCCACGTACGTCAACCCAGATGTTGGTAGACGTTTGGAGCTCAATCAGGTCAGTTGGGTGCGGAGACTTGGACAGTTTGAGGTTGCGGAAGATGACGTTGGTTCCCTTCTTCACGCGGAAGCCTCCACCGGTGACGCCGGAGTTGCTCCCAAGTCCGATGACGGTGGTGCTGAAAAATGGGTCAGTCAACGTCACCTCCAAGGCCACCGAGTCATGCGCACTGATTTCCAACGTCGATGGTGTCTCCATCTAGCATCATAAATTGCGCGATTAAGTGTTGCTCGATGAGGATCTGCTACGGTGCCTACCGCCAGTGATAATGCCAGATACCTGAACGATTTTCGGCGTAGCGCCTGTGACAGCACTACGCAAATCTGCCAGCGACGTGACGCTGTGTGTTTGTGAATAAAAATCCCGCGGGTCATGGTCGAGGCCATCTTACGTGGTCACTGTGCCGCCCGCACCTCCGGTAGTGCCACCATTCAACGTCGCATAACCGAAGAGTTGGTTGTCTGCTCTACATTCACCATCGCACTTCAATAACGTGGTGCAATATTGGACGTACCAGATACAGCTCGGCGGTCGAGGACCGTAGCAATTGCGACGGAGAGCGACACAAGGCCGAGGAAGAAGGTCGAGAACTTCATGTGAGCAACGCAGGACAAGAGGCCTACAGCGGTGATGAGTTGGTGAGACCCTTTTATGCTCGTCACGTCGCAGCAGCCGGTATCGGTCTTGAGGGCAGGACGTGAGCCGGGCCGCTAGGATGTTCCACAGCACGCCGTCTGACGCAAGTTCCATATCATCGGTGAAAGTAGTCGACGGGCCGCCTGAAGAAGCGCGGTCACCACCGACTAGGCAAGGGTCAACGCTTCATTTGTCCGCGCCAAGCATGAACTTACGTGCGAAGGCTGGACGAGGGGCGTAATCCGAGGACGCGTGAGGGCAAACATCGGACAGAACGTCGCGTTGGCTGTTTGACCATGGTTCCAATGCCGGCTGACCATGTAATGTATCTCGACTGGCGGCCCGGAAGGTAGCGTCAGACGTAAGAAGATCTGAGTTAACCTTTTTACAGTGCTTCTCGCTGATCGCATTGCCCACGAAGCCTGGCCTGCGGTGATATTTTCAGCATGTTATGTTCTCACAGACACGACAAGAACGACTTGCGATGCGGAAGCTCCACCGAGAGAGGTCGAGCGAACGGCGCCCACGAGACGGCTTTAGAGGAAGGTCATGAGATGGCCGTACAGCCGAAGTATAACCTGCGGCTGAACATCGCATCTGTTTGTTGAGGTCGGATTTCTGGCAGACTTATACGACGCTGAGAGCGTTGTTGGGCACGGCAAAGGTGATTATTGAAGGTGTAATGCTGTCTGGGATAGGATGCACAATATCAATGTTACCGGTTGTTCTTGTTCAACGGACGGACGACCGGATCTTTTCATGAAGCATTCGTGGAGTCCATATGATCGTCCTTACCCGTTGTTACGCCGGACGAAGTCCTTAACCATCACTTCTTCTCGTCGATCCCGTGATCGTTATGGAGGACGGGCGCCTTATGGCGTGATTCCCGGGCTTGTTGCCAGTGTAATTGTGCGTGGTAGTGCATAAGCTCTTCGGCAGCCAGTCGTGAGGATTGCGTCATTCAGGTGGTAAGCAGAAGTCTCGCAAGGGAGGTTGTAGGGGGGAGAAACGAAAAGCGAATGACGATATGCCGACCTGATCCATAGTGGCTGCAGTACGTCCAATCTGACGTTCATTCAATCGTCCGTATGTGATGGCATGATGACCCGTGAGGAAAAGCTTTGCATGTTGTGATCGTGACGATACACGGTAATGATCGTATGGAGGGGTCTACGCTTAGGAGTGTGCAGTCAATCGCAACGCAAGCAATGTCCTGACAGAGTTCGTCATTACGGCCCACTATGCTATTCTTCAAGTTCTCAGGTATCTCGCACCTTTTGGCTCCAGAATACCCCCCCCCCGCGCCTCAGTTCTTGGGTTCCCATCGTGAGTATGTGGCTGAGCGATGGGTCTGATATCGAACGTCGAACCAAGCTGTTGCTTCCCCTACGTTGAGCACTGATTAGCATGCAAGAGAACGGTCCGTTATTCAAGTTGAATCTCGTTCAAGTCAAGAAAAAGAGCCTAGGAGGTTGGGCAGCGGGTGACGTGGAAGAGGATGGATCGTTGACAGATCACTTGGCGAAGTGGCAAAAGCATAGGACAATGTTGGAACCAAGGATCAAGTGGTACAGGTGGTTATATCGCCCAAGACTGGCTGTGGGCTGGGCGAAGGTCAGGCGATGAGCGTGAGAATTCACACATGACCCATCCGCGGTGCTGGACCAATTGCATGCTGTGTGCACTGTTCGATGCGGGGGAAAGAGTTTTTGCTCCTCAATTCACTGAAAGAAAACAGAACTCCACTCTTATGAGTAGCTGAACCGACCAACAAGTGGTATTGAACACATTAACCAGCATATGTGTAACGCAGAACCCCGTGATAATGCTGCATTTTCGTAGTCTTCACTGCTCAAGTATTACCCTCGCTCCTCCGTAAGATATATGATGCTGCGCTGGTGTTTTATGCTACAAAACGGAAGCAAATGCGACCCGCATACTTTGCTCCTGGTAGAGCCACGTCCAGAAGATGCACCGGCACAGACGAATCGGGATCAAAAGGCGGAGGAGAGTCAGTGCATCCCAGTTGATATCTTAGCGCACTACCCATCACTCCATGCCCTGCGGTGCAGCGATGTAGATAGTGCAGAAGTCTTGGCAGTCGAGCGAGCATAAGAGGACATTTGTCACCACAGGCGTGAGCGCATCGGATGGCGCACCTAAATATGGTCGACGTGCGCAGTGAGCAGCTGAGTAAACCAGTTACCCGAACGAATTGACAGTCACGGTGAGAATCCTTGAGCTATCAGAGCCACGAGCAAGGCTGCTTTCCGGAACGTTCATGTACGGTGCGGGGGAAGTTCACGAGTGTGGTACTTGCAAGCGCGTACATAGTGTCGCCGTGGTTGGATGCTATACTGACATGGCGATAGGTCGTCAACGGCTCGGTACGCTCCGGGCGGGCAAAGGGGCGCGGATGCAATCCGTTTCGCAGAGAGCTCACCAGCATAGCGGGTCTAAGAGCAACACAGTGGCGGCGAACATGCGGCCGGGGCGCGCGTAACCTCAGGAAGATCCGAGTGCAGGGATGATCGTGTCTTCGGCCAGGACTAGGCAGCAACAGTCGAGCGGCGGCTGGCAGCGGTGTCCGGGGTAGCCCACCCCATCCTCGGTGGCATCGTGGGCAGCCCAAGCAGAAAATACGACGGAACGCCCACCGGCGTGAGACGGCGCGCCTCGTTCGCAGGTCAGGCCCGACGCGCAGTCCAGCGAAGGGCACCTTGGCGGGGGGCGTTGGAGGGCTCCGCAGCAGGAGGCGGAAAGCTGCTGCCCAAAACGGGTATCGAGGTCGGGCTCGTGTACGCCAGGAATAGACCGGGCGCAGCAAGCGGGGTTGCGTTTTCCCCCGGGTTCTGAAAAGAAGCGTGAGAAGTGGAAGTGAATCGGGGGAGAGGGCGTGCGCAAAGAGCGGGTGCGACGAGCTCGGGACGGTTTGGGTTGCCCACGCATCTTGCGCGTGTGTATAGCCGCAGCGCGCTAAGAACTGGGATGAGTTGCTGACGATGTCATCGCCGGCGCTGCCGGATCTTCGCATGATCGAGATGTGGGTATCTTTGCATAAACGCGCATCGAGACGGGCTTCGGCTGTGTAGTTACTCCGGAAGAGCCCTGAAGACCAACAAAGGGCGTGTAACGAGCTTTTTCTGGGGTCGAGATGGGTATGCCAAGAGGCCGGGATACAAGCCACGGTAGGGGTCTGAGCCGTAGGGAATGTTCATGGCGATTCGGTATCACTGCGATGTGTTGATATACCGTTCTGAACAGCTGGCAGGGTCAGAGTTAGTCATGCATTGCGTGCATCAGAAAAGACGCCATTATACGCCAAGGTGCCTGACCTCTGGCACCTGTGTCACGACGTCACCAAATGCGCGGCTACGCACTTGGTGTTCTCGTCCACCCGTGTATCCTGGACGCTAGTGACATGAGGGGTGGTCAATAAATGAAGGGACACGGGGTACGCGACACCGCACGTTGTCGTGGAAGAGCCTCGATTGCGAGCCCACAAGTCACAGGTCCGGGATCACGAGTTGCTGAAGGATTCATAATCGAACGCGTGCGATATGAGAGGAGGGTGGGGAGCATGACGGGTCAACAGTGAGAACATAGTGCCGGGCGACGATGGGACGTACGGTGGGATCCTGACAACCGAGCGTCGCTCACGGACACGGAACTTGACATCATCTCCACGCCGTACTCGATAGGCTTCGCGCATTCTCGAGAGACGCCTTGCGGGAAGGGGGGGAGAGGATATCCAGACCGTCTCATCGACGTCCCGGAACAAGGATCGCGATCGATAACGAAGAGGGGAGGAGAAAGCGGAAGGGAGGGGGGTATAGGTGTCATCATCGAGTGCGTCGGCGCGGAGAGGCGCGACGTCCGCGAGGCGCGAAGCCGGGCCAAAAGGAAGCGCGCTCGAGCGAAGGCAGCGAAGCACGCGCCAGGAATCACAGGTGCGGGGCGGATGGCTCGCGATCTTCCGCGATGCGGCGATGGGCGGGGTTCAAGCTGACCAGCTGACCTCTCCTACGGGCGGCTATGTACGCATAAGCACGGAGCTGTACATGTTTATAATGCGTGCGGCCCCTCGGAGCGGCGGACGGAAAACGCGTCGCGGAAAACACGAGGCGGCACTGCGGGAAGGTTTGGGGATAGGGGGCCGCTTCGGCCCTGTCAGGCGGGACAGGGACAGGGGAGGCCCCCAGGCGGCTTTATTTGGAAAAGCGGAAGCGGAGGCAACGCCGAACAGGCGTGTTCGAAGCAGGCTTTCCCCGGTTTTGCTACCGGGGGTTGGGTAGAGAGCACTCAGGTGCCAAGATGCGCGACACCTACGACGGATTCTTGTGCTCTGCGCAAAGGCATGAGCGGCCGTTTGACCTATTGCACGAAACACTCAATCGTCGGTTGCGTGGTCAAGACAGAGTGACAAGCAGCTTACAAGAAGCGGGAGGGAATATCGAGGCGTTCGTTGCTGCATATAACGTCCGGGGAAGGCGCGATCCCTAGCAGTCTGTACCTGGCGAACAGTGGTCGAAAGCAGTTAGCCTGTGGCGATGTCAGCACGTCGAAGGCGGAGTGAGAAACGTAGATCACGATATTGCTCAGAAAAGAGCGGCGGCATCGGAAGGGACGGTACGCGCCCAATATTTGCGGCAATCCAAGGTTCCATCGGGCGATACGTAAGGGCTCTCTGGTGGCGCAGGCTGCTTGAGCGGACCCCGATAGCAAGGAGGTCCCGCCATCCGAGAGCCGAGGTGCTAGCGCTGCTGTGCGATTCGTCTCCGATAAGGGCGAAACGATACGGTTCAGCGCTGGTACAAGTTGGCCGATCTCGCTGATCGAAAGTGGACCCCCGTGATGAGGTGCAGGGGCCGGAGCGTGCGGAATGGTCTGAATAGAGATGTGGATGGCGACCTGCAAGGGAAGGTGGAGGTGAACGCGTTGGACACTACGTGCTGCAGGAAGGTGGCAATGTAAACTCACCGGTATGGCGCGGCCATCGCGAGGATGGGGCGGAGCCGCGCTCATCAAGTGGCCGGACGCGAGGAAGTGGAGAGTTGGCATCGAGCAACGGGGATAGCTGTTGTGACGCGTTTCGAAACCCTCGGCGTCGTGTTCTTCCCCCCCGGAAGCTCTCGAATGGTCGGGTGACCACACTCACTGCGCGGGATGGAGTAACCGATGAACGACAAAGATGCGGCGATGTGAATGGAAGACCGAACTTTGACATGATGTGATGCAACGTCGCTCTGGCTGAGGCTGGCGCGCGGACGTTTCGTCGGGTTGCATGATGGTGCGTTCGAGGCGAATCGTTTTGAAATGCGATAGAGGCATGTTTGCTCACCAGATCGGCGTGGTCCTTTGCGCTATACCAATAATACCGCTGCACAAAGAGGCCGCCAAGCTATCGGCTTGCGGCCGCCTATGCACAGCGTACGTGCTCAGGGGAACGTTCACGGCCAAGTATCCCGTAGTTTTCGGCATCGGTTGCGGCGCGATTGCCAACGCCACGAAGGAAACTCGACGATTTTGTGAAAACAGGCGGGCTTGACGGGGGTATATTCATCATTCCATGGATTGGATTCTCCGGGAGGCATCGGATGATGTAACACATTCGCACAGGCGAGCTAACGGAGGTACTGAGCGAAGCCGCAGCGGGTGAGTGTTATCGGGTGGGCAGGGCTGTTCCCGTACGTGGCGGGTCACGGGTCGCCTTACCAGACCGGTCAAGAGGCGAGGGCGGCGTTTCATGGATGTCAGAGGCGTGTTTGACCTTCCCTCCCAGGTTCCGCAATATTCGCCCATCGCGATTGAAATTCCAGTACAGATTACAATCGCTGCCGAGAGCAAGAACGCCCGGCGTCTGAGCTTGCAGCTCGTGGCGATCGAAAGTCCTTTCGCGATGCAGATTATGGTTGGCGCCGGCGCAGACCAGTCGAGCCGGGTCCATTCCTGATGTGGTCAAGCCAACCTGTGCGACGCGCGGGTGTAACGGCGGGAAGCTGACACCAGTGACCGAGAGACAGCAAGGGGGGGCGTGTGAGGATCTGTTTTACGTGAACATGACGCGACGGTTCGAGAAGAAGGCTCCGAGCTATGAATAACGCGGCCGAGGTTTTCATGCAGAACCGAGATGGGAGCATCTTTCCAAAGGAGAGAGGACCGGGGTCAGGCCGTCGATGATCGGCGGTGGTTTGGTCGGGTCGGGTCTGTGGGCCACGGCTGCTGCGGGAGGCCAGCCAGGATGCTTACGTGCGCCTCCTCGAGATGCGAAGGTTCTTGGGGAGGGAGCGAAATCGGGCGGAAAGGTCTCCCAAACACGGCCGCCCGGGCCAGCGGCGTACGACCACGCCGGCGAGAAAGGATCGGGAAGGGTGGTCGACGAAGTGGGCGGGTGGGCATGCGCTACCCTCGCCATGACAGCCTTGCTGTGCCGCCACCCCGGTGCCACCAGCCCCTCTCCCATCCGAAGCCCACGCAGAAACCAAGCGGAGGGGGGCGAAGAGGGGCATCCGCCGAGGATCAACCCTGATAAGGCGCGTAGCCTCGCTGGGCTCGCGCATGCGGTGCTGCGCGGCGGCGTGCCATTCGTCGGCGCTGGCGCGATTCCGGGGCGGGGCAAGCGCGGGCCGGGTAGAGCGTTAGTTCGGGGCTAGAGGCCAGGTACGGACGCTGCTGGGCGACAGCCGGCGCGGGTTTGCGGGTCCCTGTGCTGCTGGCCGTTGCTGGCAACCGTCTTTCCCTCGAGCCCTCGATATCATGGTCGGCGCAAGTGGGGCACCCGCGACGGCGGCGACGGCGGGGTAACTCAACCAGGACGTGGGAAGCAGCGGTGGCGCCCGGTGGCTCGGCGATGAGAACGGCACGGGGCCAAGCGTCGGGAAGCGGGGCTGGGCGCGTACGTCAGCAACGCGTCCTTCCGAGGAATGCCCTCCGGCGCGGCGCACGTTGGCCGACAGCCGTGACGGCGCGCGCGTAAGGCCGGAATGTATTGGCGCGCAGACGACTTGGCCTTGCCGCGCGTTTCCCTCCTCTCCTGCTTTCCCTTCCGCACACCATCGGTGCGGCACGCTTGGCGCAGCGCGGGAAGTCGCCGCGCGCGCACAGGGGCGACGCGGAGGCGGCGTGCTACGGGCGGTGGGAGGCCCACCCCCGTGGCCCGGGGCGACTGCGCAACGCGGCGGCGCGCGGGCGTGAACCCGGGGTGGCCGGGGGCCGTCGCTTGCCATAACGGGCGTGCGCTCGTCGGCACCGCCGGCGTGTTGTGCCTGGGGACGCGTGACACGATCGCTCCGTGTTCAAGGCCATCATCGGTTGCCCGATTCGGAATGGGGGCGAACCACCCCGCGAGGCCTGGCGTCCCGCCGAGAACCGTGAGTGGCCCATCCGGAATGATACATCGCCCGCGTGGACGCCGCATATAAGACCGCGCGGGGCGCGCCGCCGCCCTCGACTGTCGCCCCCCGCCCCCGCCCGCCGCTCGTGCCCCGCCCTACCTGCCCGCCAGCGCTGACCCCTCCTCCTCCAACCACACGCCCCACCCCGCCGCCGACGTTCGCCATGACGCCGGCGCCCGCGTCTCCGGAACGCTCGCCATCGTCGGTCGGCACCGCCGTCAACGGTGTCGTCAAAAAGGAGCCCACGACCGTGTCGGCCGTTTTGCCCCGCTCGCACTCGCCGTCGCCGCTCAGGAGTCCAAGGGCGACCATCGCATTGCCTGCTTTAGACACCGCCGCTGTTCGACCTCCGACGCGTGACGAGAGCCCCGCCGCGCTCGCCGGCTTGCTGTCCGCCAGTTACAAGGAGATCGAGGAGCTCAAGCACGAGCTCGCCGTCGCCCAGAAGCGCGCCGCAAAAGCCGAGAGACTGCTCGCAGCGGTGAGCCTTGTCACGCCCCTATCGTTTTGGCGCGTTTCTGACGCCTGTTGTCGTGCCCCCCTTCAAAGGTATCGCACCCCTCATCACCCCATCCGTCCTCTAAAGATGGACATGATTCAGGAAAAATGCCTGAAGCGGCCATAAAGGCCATCACCGATGCTGAAACACGCGCAGAACGAGCAGAGCTCGCGCGCGACGAGGCCATGGCACGCCTCAAGTGCGTATATGCTATTTCCTTCGATGAAACTCGCTTCCTGACGCGCACGCGATCTCCGTTCAGGGTCGTTCAAGATCTTTACCATCAACTAGACGATTATCTGAACACTGCCCAATACCGCATGGCCGATGCACGCGCAGGTATGCATATATTCAATCGTGATGCGCATGTGTTTCCGTTTCTCTCGGGTGCTGTCTCTTCCGAGGTTCCCGAAGCGCCACTCAGGCAGTGAAAAGGCCGCTCGTCTCCCCGCACCTCCCGTTGCAGTATACAGATCAGCGCGCTGACAGCCATGTTGCTCCACAGGTTTCCGCAAGGTCATCGATGAAGGTGGCGGTCGAATCGTTGTCACACCCATCAACCTTCCCGGCGAGGTACGTTCTCCTTCTCAACCTCCTCCTTCCAACTTTCTATTCTTTTGCCATGTACTTATTTGCTCCGTACCCCTCTTTTACGTCGCTTTCGCCACCAATAAACACCAGTATCAGACCAGTCCTCACGCCCGCCCCAAACAGCCTCCCGCCACCGCGCAAATCATCAGCGCCTCGTCGCACGTGCCCTCGTCCCGTTTCCCTCTTCCGACGCCGCCATTCAACGTCGGCCCCTCGTCCTTAAACCTCTCCAACGCCGCAGCCGGCCCTTCTCTCTCGAGCGCAACCCGACCCATCACCGCTCTGAACGTACCCGCGGGCTCCGCCTCCTCCTCCCTGAGGAGGAGCTCCAATGCCCAACTACCGATCTCGGCGGGGTTGCAGCTTCCGCCACCGCCGCACCCGCATCCGCACGGGCACGCGTACCAGGGAAGCGCCGCGCCGCAGTACCCGCCCGCGCCCTCCGCCTACACCTCCTATGCCGCTCGGGAACGGGAACGCGAGCGAGACGAATCGTTCGGGAGCAGGAGGATGAGGGAAGAGAGCATCGATAGCGCGTACCCGCACAAGCGCCCGCGCGGAGATGACCGCGACCCGCATCGCGAGCGTGAACGCGAGCGGGAGAGGGGCAGGGAGCGAGAGAGAGCCAGGAGGGATTCCTACCTCGACCAGGTGATTCGATAACGCTTCCCGATTTGCAACGACGACGTGACTGATGGGTGGACGTTTTTTTTCGCAGCGCCCGTCGTATGCGCAGGGGCAGCCGCTGCCTCAGGCTTCGACGTCGATGTCTGGCCCTGGACACCACCCGCTTCCGCCCGTTCAGCACTCGCAGCCGGCGTACGACCCTCGTTACCACCAACGCCCCACCGCAAGCCCCGACGAACCCAGGAGACGATACCCAGACGATAGCAAACACCCCCAAACCCACGCATACCAGCAGCAGCAGCAACAACAACAACAGGCTCACGCGCGCCACCAGAGCCAGCGCAGGAGCCGGCGCTCGCGCAGCCGAAGCGGCGGCAGCTCGCACAGCCGGAGTACGTCGCGCTCGACGTCGCCGTCGCTGGACGAGATGCTCCTCGAGGCCGCCGACGGCAGCGAGGAGCGTGAGCGCAGGAGGTCTGGCAGCCCGGACTACCGCGATCGGCGGAGGGAGCGGTACCCGCCGGGCGCGTACGGGGTGAACGGCCATTATGGTGCGCCGCCGCCGCACGCGATGGGACCTGGCTCGTACCACGCCGGATACCCGCACGCGTCGGGCGCGATGCCGCCTGGGTAAGCAATCAATCCTTCGCCTTTGCGACGGATCGGAGGGTCTGACGTTTCCGCTCCCGTGACATTTATAGCCCGCTTCCCGCGCCCGGTCAACTGCAAACGTATCAGACGCATATTTTCGCTCCACCCGTGACGGGCGCGCCCGTCAAGAAGCCCAAGGGCGGCGCACCGCCGATGCCGCTCCCCGGTCCCGGAACAGCGCCCCAAGGGCACGCCGTTCAACAACAGCCTCTCGTCCCCGCCGGCAGCACCGGTAGCGTGATGACGCTCGGTCCCAACGGATCCGTCATCTCCGGCCCATCGACCGTGGGCGGCCCCGGCGGCTTCCCGCCGACGAACAACTCTGGGCAGCGCATCTGCCGCCAGTGCGGTGTCGCGGGGCGTTACAAGGACGGCAAGTGCGTCGAGAAGTGGGGGCCGGGACCCGAGGGCCCGGGCACGGTGTGCGACCGATGCCGGAAGAAGATGAAGAGGGTGGAGAGGAGGGGGACGATGGAGGCACAGCAGATCGCGCGAGGGGACGCGGCCGCGCTTGCGCATCACCATTCGATACCGAGGCAGCCGCCGACGGCGGTTGGGCTGCAGAGGACGGGGACGGAGGCGTTGAGCGTGCCTGCGCCGCAGGGACCGGGCCTCGGGCCTCACGGCACGCAGCTGCTGTCGCCTCGAGGGTCGTTTCGCGAGGTGACGAATACCGGCGTCGGCGCCGCCGTGAACGGTACATCGGCACGCAAGTCTTCGTCGCCTTACACGTCCGCGCGTCGTCATTTCTCCCCGCCTTATGGACACGGCACGTCGGATCGCCACCGCGCCAAGTCGCATTCGGGGTCGAGCGTGAGCGGGTCGCCGTTGAGCCAGCCTTCTGGCGCGAGCAGCACCGAGAAGGTTCCCTCGCCCGAGCTGAGGGACTCGCGCACCGGCAATAACGCCATGGAGGTGGACGAGGGGGATGCGGATGCGGAAGGCGACGAGATCGACGCGGACGCGGACGGGGAGACCAACGTCGAGGGTGAGGCCGAGGTTGACGCTGAGGCCGACGCCGATGCCGAGTTGCTTGAGGCGGTCGACGCGGCCGAAGCTGCTCATGCTGGCGACGACTGAGCGCCTCCGAGGTTTTTTTTTTCGTTCGTCATTTTTGTTCGCTGCCCCCCCCCCCCCCCACTGCTTTCGGTTTCGTTGCATATGCCATTTGTTGTCTCTCGTCCATCGCACTGATTTGTACCGAAGCCATTTTTTTCCACCTCAGTTTTGTGCCATGTTGTATCATATCTATCTTATCGAGCATTCAACATTATCCTTTTTTTGCGGACCATCCACGGTGCGAGTGCTTTGACGGAACACCCTATGTGGTGGTAGTGACCATAGCTTCATCAGCATCTTGCCTTTGGGCACGAGATCAGATAACCTCGAGACCCCGTAACGTGTTTCTCGGCGATGACCGACCGCACGGGCGCGCGCGCAAACGGGAAACCACCAGGCGCGAGATTCTCGTCCAACGATTGACTTCGGTTGATCCGTGAAAGGAGGGGGCGGGTATCGCCGGCGCTATCTCGCGCCCATCGGACGCGGTGACGTCGGTGAAAGCCTTGCAGCTGCGTCGGTGGTGGGGCGGCTTCCGATGCCGTAGGCAGTACGAGAGGCGGGGGTCGCCACGAATGGGAGGGGGGGGGGGCTCATATGACTTCGGGCACGACTGGAACAGTGATACATAACACATGATACGTAGCGCAGCGTTAGAGCGTATACGTCCCCCCCGCGCCTCGAAGCTCGCAGCTCGATCGCTCGAGGTCCGTGGGTCCCACCCTCCTCCTCCCATCCCGCCTGCGCGGCCCACGCTCCACCTCGTTGTTACGGCGACTTCGAACTCCCCGTCTTCCGCGCTGCATCGTCGCCTTTTGGCCGCTCTGTCCAGAGAGCCCGGGGATCCAGAGAGTGGTGAGCGAGAGCAAAAAAGCAAAGTGACCTCAACTCTTCGGGGGGCCCCCCCGCTCGCAGCGACGTGTTGGGTCTCCCTCCCTTCGCGGCCGCTGGGGAGTTTTGCTGAAACGCAGGGTAGTCACGCCCGTCGTCACCGAGACCTGAGGAGCGCGGCTTCTTCTGGCTATGCTCCGAAGATGGAAGGGGGGGGGCGCCAGGGAGGAATGAGCCAACGGGGAACACCGCGAAAACGCCACAGCCGCGCGATCTCCACATCTCCACATTGTTTTTTTTGGTCAAAAGTGATAGCTGTTTTCGCTCGCGTTGGCCGTTGGGGGAGGGTAGGGGGGTAGGGGAAAAGAGAGAGAAAAAAGGGGGCGTCCTAGAGTCACACGGTCTTTCGCGCTGGTATTTAGCAACGTGCTCGAACGCGTTCAGACGACGCGGGGAAGGGACAGAGGTATGCCAAAACCTCCATATGCCGGACCGGGGCGTTGAGCGCGGCCGGCCGCCGCCGCCTCCACCTACGAAGCACGTTTTGGAAACACACTACCACCACCGTTCCCAATATAAGTGACAAATGATTTTCGAGGGACAAGCAAGCATCTCCTTTTGACCCGAGGATGTGACATTTGCGGGATGAGATGATGAAGGAGTGAGGAATGTAAGGGAGCCACTGCTCACCATTATCGCCCCTCTTCCCCTCCCCGTTTGTGTGCCCAGGTGGGCGGGCATGCTTGACATCCTGAAGGGTCACAGTGACCCTAAAAAGTGCAGAAGGCAAAAAGCGGGGCGAGCTCGGGCGATTTTTTTTTTCTGTCTAGATTGCTTGCAACGGGACTCATGGGTAGAAGGAAGCATTGCGGGCAGGAGGAGTCTGGGGAGGGAGATGAGCTGGAGCGGTGTGAGGAACAAAGCAGATTGTGCCGTGTAGGGCTGCCCACCAAAGCTAGCACTCTGAGCCCGAGTCCTCGTCTTCGTCGGAACCTATCATCGCGACATCCGGCTCGGACGAAAACCGAGACAACGACGGCGTGGGCGAAGGTGCAGGAGGCGTCGCGCGAAGTTCCGAGTCCGCGCTCGGGCGCATCAAGGACGGGGTGAGGTGAACGTAGACGAGCTCGTCGTCGGTGTCCTGATCCTCATCGTCCGGCGGAACGGAAGAAGGAGGAGCGGGAGCGTGGGCGGTGCCGCCGTCGGCGTCGGCGATGTGGTTGCGATAGTGCCGGCGCATGTTGCTGTTCACGCTGAACTGCCGGCCGCAGGTCGGGTGCGGGCATTCGAAGGCTAAAAAAAAAAAAACATAATCCGTCGATCAGCACGTCGATATCGGTTACCGGCAGGGGGGAGGGGCGTTGGTAGGAGGAGAGAAGAGACGGATGGGGGGGGGAGCGAAGAACTCAACGTTTATCGCCGGTATGCGTGTTGATGTGGATCTGGAGGCTCGAGGGCCTACTAAATCGTTTGTTGCACAGGTGGCAGACGTGCCTCCGTTGAGCGTGATCGCCGTCGTGAACGCTCCCCAAGCGCATCTTGTGCTGGTGCAGCGCGATCGCGTCGTCCAGCGCGTTCGGTATGGAGATCACTCTTGCCGCGGCGCGGGAGTCGTAGCGAGCGCCTTCCTCCCTCGACGCGTATCGCTGAGCGCCGTACTCGGGATTGCGCATGACGTGCTGCTCGATCTCCACGGGCTTGCCCTGGGTTCGGTATGCACCAGGGTAAGGAGACGCTTGCGCGCGACCGGTTACCGGCGGGGGATGCTCGGGTCCATCCGTACGCGTGCGCTGTCGGTCCCTCGTGCGCGCCTCGTCTTCCTCGCGCGTTTCGGGAGACGAGGTAGAGAAGAAGCGGGCGCAGGGCACGCCGCGCACGACGACGTACGGAGGCTGCGCCTGCGGGCCGGGAACGGGGCGCGTGTGGTATATGCCCGTGCGCACGGGGCGCGGGGGAGGAGGCGCCGGCGCGTACGGCGCGAAGCGCGCGGAGGGGGCGGGAGAGCGGGGTCGGGGAGAGACGCAGCGGGGAGGGAGGGGAGCGCGATGCGGTGCCGGTTCCCGGGATGGGTAGGCCGGAGGTGGTGGGGGTCTGTGAATCTGATCTGTGCGGGCGGGGGGAGCTGGTGCCGGTGCCGAGCCGTGACGGACCGCTCGAGTGGAGGGAGGGATTACGGAGACCGACGAGGCGGGACGAAACGGGGGTGGTCGAGCGTACGAGGGGACGTGAAGAGGCCCCGGAAGCGATTCGGCTGCAGAATGACGCCGAGGTTTGTGAGGGTGGTAAGGTTCCGGATTTATATAGCCTAATCCGCTGACCTCAGTCGCTGTTGACGGCGATGATACATCCGGGATGGAAACTTACCGGGAAGCATCTCGTGGATGCTTGGCAAGGAGATGTTGTTTGAGCTCATATCGACCGAAGAACGGTTCGTTAGGGTCAGTCGCCCCAGTTCAGCCATTGCTTTATATCGAGGACGAACGCTCGCGGGTGCCATGCCAGAACGGAAAAGGACCTACCCTCAGAAAAATGGCGAGACGGAACGCTTTCGGTGATCATCGCGACCGGCGGGGGGGCATGTTGCGCCTTTGCGAATCCCATACATTGACGCGTGTCGCCAACGAGCTGGGACAACGCCTCGCGGAGAGAAAGAATATACATGGATTGGTGGTGGGCTACTCTGTGCGGAGGTTTTTTTCAGCTTTAGCAAAAGCGAATTGCCAGCTCAGAATCGTCTGATGGGATCATGCACGGACGACGGGCTCACTGCACATGGACTGTCCTGCGAGACTTTGCTGCGCGGTCAATTGATGATACGACGAGAGCCCAAGCGCTGATGAAGGAGATATATATATATTAAAAGAGAAATCGAAGACCCATTTCCGGTAGAGGATGCAGCGTAGTCAGCAAGCACGAAGGAAGCGCGGGGACAGTGGAAGATCTCGAAGGCCCGGATGGCGCGTCGTCCCCGAATTTTGCCCTTTCGGGTGATAGGCCTCCCTGCGTCGCGGTCGCGTCGCTCGGCCCGGACGGCGATGAGGAGCAAACGTGGATTCTGTCACTATGGAGCACCAAGGCCGCGGAGTCCAAGCAGCGCTGAGGTTGGAAGTGGAGAGTACTCTCGCAAAGCACGCGCTTTCACGGGGAGTCGAGAGCGGATCGGTGCGCCGCGGAGCGCAGATAAGTAGAACGTTCCTGCTCCCGCGAGAGACGGCACTGAGGTGCAGGAAGACCTTGGGACATCCTGATGGGTACGGCAGCGTAGATGCAGGTCGTTTATTTTATTGGTTTCAGCAAGTTGAAAACGGAGTCACTGCTCACGTGACCTATTCAATGAATCCGATGAATCGGACGACAGGTTCGCCGCTGCTGTCCCGAGACCCCCGAACCCCCGTATCACCTACTTTCCAGTGGTCTCGCGACTATGATATGTACTCCGAGGGGACAATATCGCCTGACGTCGCACGAAAGCTGCAAAGGCGTTGCCATAAGACGGCAAGACACGTCGAAACCGACGAGACTAACTCACAGCCCATCGCGGAGGCGCGCTCGAGTTCGGTTAGCCTTTGCAGGAAAAAAAGTAGAAGAAGAAAAATCCTCGCCACACCCCGGCACCGCGCAACCCTTGCGTCTTCCATTTTGATCGTGCTCTACTTAGAACGGCGCGATATTAAGTATATTCGAACAAAAGCCGATGCCCTCGCATCCAATTTTTTCCTTGCGTCTCCATCACTAATCCCTTCGATCGTCCGACGAAAACGTCGACGGAACAGGTGCGCATGGCGCGCAACAGACGCGGCCGTCACCCTCGATAAGCGGGTCTCCCTCTGATGCGCGCGACTGCGGACCGCCACGGATGGTATCAAAGTTTCCGATTTTTTTTTTCTCTTTTCTTACCTTCTCTCATCTTCTCTGCATTCCCTTTTTCTTTTCTGATGCATCCCAAAACTCGTAGAACCTCGAGAACCTCGGACGCGACCTTCGTCTCCGTGGGGCGCGCGATCCTGCCCGCCTCATAGAGCGCGATACGCTGCAGGAGGAGCGCGAAACGGCGACAGTCATTATCTCTATTTCTCGGGGCACCGAGTCGAGAAATTGTCGACGGACTCACCTGGTTCGGTGAACGACCCGTGATAACCGCGCCCGGGAGGGGATACTACGGCACGGGAAGGAGCCGGAAAACGGGGGCGGGGGTGGTACGTCGGAACGCCCTCGCTCACCGAGCTCCCTCCTACGTCGTACGTGGCTCCTCCCCTTCCTCCTCCTCCTCCTCCTCCTAGACGGCGCGCCCGGTTCGCGAGGTACGTCCGCCACGTCTCGCCGAGCGCAAGCTCGTCATTCGACGTGCCGGAGCGCGAGCGCGAGCTCGAGCGCGAGGAGCCGGAGCTGGAAGCCGGCGACGGGTAGTCGAACCCGAGCGGACGTGCGGCGAGCTCGCGACGGCGGCGTCTGACGTATCCGCCGCCGTCGTCTCGCGCGGCGGCCGGTGGGACGAGGAGCGCGCTAGGGTCGTGCAGCTCGGGTGCCCTGGACGGGCACTGCCGGGCGTTGTGGTCCGCGCGGTCGACCTCGCGCATGGGGCGCCCGCATCGCGGGCATTCAGAGATGCCTGCAGGTAAGGCTGCGACTGGGGCGCGGGATCGAGGAGGTAGCATTTGGACTGGGCCGGGCGCGCTGCCGCCTGGGTATGGGGCGCTGGTCGATGCGGAGTTAAAGGGGCCGGATGAAGTCGCAGGAGAGGTACACGGTGAGCGGGTTGAGTTTGGGATGGGCGCTGACGCGGGGGCTTGAGGACGATCTGGGGTAGCGAGCGTGTAGATGCTAATCCACCCGTTGGGTATGAGCACCAGCTGTTGCCGGCGATGTCGATGATAGTCCTGGCTTGCCATACAACAGTGACTAGCCGGCTCCAGAGGACGGTCAGAAATTGGATGCCGGAGGACGGTCGAAGGTACGGGGGCGAGGGGGGTCGATTCCGGTGTTTATAATCCGGTCAGCTATGATGGCCGGACACGATGTTGGGGTTCCATTCCACCTTGGAAGCTAGCGAAATATCCGTGGGCCATTATCTGCAAAGAGCGCGCGGGCGCCTGAGTGACCTCGAGATAGCTTGCGCGGGGCTGGTGCGACGGCAGCGACTGTGCCGCGAGGCTGCAGAGCAACGGGGCCAATCGTCAGCCGCATCTACGAGCCATGTCAGGAAGCGGTGCGCAAATCCGGGACGTCATGCTGTACAAAAATGACTCACGGAGGGACCATCAGGTCCTAGTGCACGATACCGATACGAGGAAGGGAAGGCCAGAAATGTTGGACTGCATTCCCTAAAGTAGCCCGGGCGGTCGCGGTGCCGCTACCGTACGATGACATAGAGACGAAACGAGCGAATCAATGACCCTCGGCGGATCAGCGATGGATCAAGCAGAATGTATACCATGACATATATCGGTGCAGCAGTGGCCAGGAGGCGCCGAGTGCGGACAGAAATGTCACAGCACCGCGAGGAACAACGACACGGGCTGGATAGCTTGACGCCGTCGGCTGTCGCATCTATGATGAAGAGAAATGTTGATGTGAACTGAAGGCCGCGAGGTGCTTGTCTGAGAAAGATTCGAAGCTCGTGATGGATATCGACATGCGACAGAGTGAAACGTTGCCTGGTGAAGGCGAGCGTCAACCTTGAAAATGTTGGAAAAGGCGCCCGCACATCACGCTCGTGTCTGTGACCGATCGTAACGTCGACGTCGTCGCCTCGTTCCGTCCACCTTGGTCCTTCTCTGTAAAGTATATAGCTTATGTAAAGCTATGCTACGACGCGACTAGACCGAAACAGAACAGAACCGAGTGTATTGAGCTAAAGACGACATACATGATTGTCTGTACGGCGCTTATATCTTAGCGGTCCGGATTATACACGGCCAGACAAGATGACGGCGGAAATCGCGTGGATTACACGCCATGTGGTTACCATGCGCCCAATCCACGGGAATCCACGCCGCGTCCAGTGTCAATCGACGAGATTGGCGCGCAGTGGAATGCCCTTCGACCCAAGCTGTAGAATACGACTGTACCGCGGTTCCGTTGAGAATACATTGTGTGGCCAGTCGTAATCCATCGTTTCGCTTTGTGTTTTCCACCGCAAGCTACCAGCGCCGTCACGTGTGCAAGGACTTGCCAAAGTCAATGGGTGATTCGTGCAGCAGCGGCAACGCGCGCGGTCAAGCTGCTCCAACTCATCTCCCGCCAACAGCACCAGCGAAGACGATTAGACGATGGGTCACTCTCGCCATGGCCAAGGGCACGGGCCTTGGTAGAGTCATGCCACTCTCTGAGCCTGCTCAGAGAGTATGGGTCGGGAGATGGGGTGTGCGTCTATAGCGGTTGTGCCCACCGTTGCAAGATGAACCCCCGGACGACCTGGCATGCCAACCCCCTATCGTCTACGCGTCCTCACGGCGCTGTGCGCATTTCGGATATGTTTGATATGCTGAGGGCATGGTACGTTCTGAGTTTTCCTCTTACCGTTGTAAACCCAATGCGCTCATACTTTCATCCAGGTGTGCCGTTGCACTTTTTACCTAATCCCGGTCGCCATTCGACCACCGCAGTGGCCTCGTCGCCGCAACTGCCTCCACTCATGTGCCCACGCCCGTCACAGTGATGACTCCCAAGACGTCTCCACCACCTACAGCAGTGGGCACGCCGTACGGCCACCCTGCGCCCTCGCCTCTCGCTCATGCGTACCACCACGTTCACGACCCCGACCGCGATACCTCGGACGCGGACTCACGTGAGTCCGCTATCTCGTAGAGCATGGCACGCATCTAACGAATGCATCTCGTCGCAGTACGCACATCGTACGGGTTCGGACCCAGCCCAAGCGCGAGCTGCGCCAGCCTGACGTCGCTCACCACATCCGCCTCCTCGCGCTACTCTCAATCGCAATCTCCCTTGCATACCCGCTCCTTTGTCGTCAAGAAGCCACTGCCGCCCACGCCAACCTCGGCGCCACCGCTCGCCGTGCCCTCCTCGCCTTCGTCAACGTCCCTCGTCTCCGTCTTCCGCACGGCATCTCTCAACCGCTTCCGGCGGAGCAAGTCCAAGGCGAAGGAGAGGCCCAAGAAAGAACCCGCGACACCCGAAGACACGGTTCGCGTCGACTACCCGTACATTGGCGCGCACCTCGATCGCGAGCGCTCGGCCGTGCCGCCCCCGCCCGAGCATGCATACACGCACGGGCTCCCAGACCCGCACTTGCCTTTGCCCCCACACAACGTACGGTGGCAATTGGCACACAGTCCGTTGGATGTCCGAGCCAGGCCACACCGTTCGCGCACGGACCCCGACGCCGACCCCACGCCCGTCACTCCACCGAGCGAGTTCAGCGCTCGGTTTCAGGCCTGGGGGAAAGCGCGCGCGCACCGTGCTCCAGCGACTCCGGAGCCTCTCAGCCCGCGCCGGGAGATGTCACGCTCGCCGCTGGCCACGCTCGCCCTCGAGGAGGAGGACCGTGCGTCCCGGGAGATCTCTCCTGCGCCCGAAGCAGATGCACCGCGGTCATCGACATGCTCGTATTCGGAGAGCGACGAACAGCAGACACTGCGCGGACGTTGAGCCCCTCTTGCGCCTTGTGCCGCGTCCGCGAGCGACCTGCCTACGTCCTTCCTCGACCTCGACGTGGACGAGAGGCCTGCGCATCCACGTTGACGCCACCGCCGACGCCGGG